TTCTGCGTCTTTGTGGGATATTTGGACCCTTCTGCAGTATGGCGTACTGAGTTTTGTACTGTTAGTTTTACTGTGGCAGAAGGGGAGTTAGACTGGGATTTTGTTCATTCTTTCCTTAATTTCCTCTGTAAACTTTCTTTTTCCTTATTAATAAATTATTTCACCCTTGTAAAAAACAACCTCGTGTTGAAGATTGGCTTATAATACTATAGTTTAAATTCAAATACATTCTTCATTACTAACTGTTAAGAATATTTGGTTTATTGGTTTTGGTAGACTTGATTATGATGTGACTGATGAAATTGATTTCGACCTTTCTCAAATTGTTGAAGTAATGGACATGGAGATGGATGCCTTTTTCTTTAAGGATATTTGATTGTGCACTTTGATTTTTAGAGTATGCATTTCATGTATGAACAACTAATCGTTGAATGTTGTCATTTGTGGGATTCAAATTTGAATATTCAGATAAATGTTTGGATGTTATTCTAGATGTTGTCTTTAAAACTTTAAATGTGAGGATTGATAATTTGGTTTGGTAATGATGTATGTTATTTATATATAAATCTAGGTTGTATTGAGAATTTGAAATTGTTTTTGAGATGTCATATATATACATAATTTATCAGGGGTTAATGGCTCCTCAATATCAACTACCCACATGTCCCGTCAAAACTAATTTAACCTGATGTCGATCCGACTATTAGGACTCGTTTGCTTGTTGGATTTGAAAATGAGGGTTTAGAGTTTTGAAAACCTTTGGATTTATGATAGATTTGTTGCATTATGGCTTTGGAAGATACATTGTTTGTTTATTAGTTTATTTTTATCATGGATTCATGATGGATTGTATCACATTTTGCCTTTCAGGGACGTTTGGTTTTGGTGGGATTGTTAAAATGGGTGCATTGTCCACAATGTATAATTTTTCTGAGTTTTTTCCTCCAACAATGCATCCATTGTTTTGTTGATGTGATGGAAAGAATCACTCAAAATGAGTGATATTACTATCTCATGTAAAACTTGAGATTGTTTATTTCTTTTTTTGTTCTAGTTATATCCCTAGTTACTTATCTATATCCCATAATACCCTTGAAATTTTATTATCTAAGCCACTCTCAATTTTTTCCGAAAACACCCATGCATAGTTCCCTGCACTTTTTTCATCAATGTCTCTACCACGTATCCTCAAAATTTAACACCCTCTCCCTTCAAAATTTCATCGTCGATCTAACATCTTCAACTAGTATACGTATCCTCAAGTAGAATACATATGTCTATCTCCATTGCTTAAAGAGGGGTAGAATTACTACAAATCGGTATTCGTCTATAACCCTTAAAAACAAGGGTAAAAGTGATATTTCATACAAAAAAGAAATACAACTTTTTGAATGCTAAAATAACTATCCCAAAAACCAAACAAGGTAAACTACATTACATCATTTTCCTTAATTGCATGTATATTACAATGCATGCATTGATCACAATGCATTGATTTAAATATCACCAAAACCAAACGACCACGAAATGTGTGATTTGCAAATTCGTGGACCACACGAATTTGTATCCCTTAGAAAACAGTGGACTTGTGTCAATTCCATAATGCTTAGGATTTGGATACCAATTCCTTAAGCAGAGGATGTTTATTGCTTCATCCGGTTTCAGACTTTCAGTCATTCTAAACTGGTTCTTCTATATGCTTTATCTGCTTCTTGCTTCATATGTTTGTAAAGAACTGGAGTTTCTCTGTTGATGGTGAGTCAGTCTCGAGCAACACTTGCTCCATTCCGATACTGATGTGAAAGTTGCCTTCTGCATTAGCGAGATTACGAGGATAGCAGCACCTCATGCACCTTAGGATGATGCCCAGATGAGGGTCCGTTTTAACTTCCAATGTTGCCCTTCCTTTGTTAGTGGTTTTTTCCCGTTCCCGTTCCCGTTCCCGTTCCCGTTCCCGTTCCCGATCTTTAATCTCTTTTTTCTTGGTTGTAGGAAACATTACTTCTGATTGTAGCTGTATTTCGTAAGCTTTCACTCACATCCAGCTGCTGTTATGCAAAGGCAGCAGCCATCCTTTCTTCCATTGCAGTGACAAGGGCAATTGAGGTGATGATGGACCTTGAATGCAATGCCTTAGTTACTGAAATGTTCCACATTTTTCTTGAAACCACTAGGTAAATGGCCTCTTTGGTAGTATCCTTTCATCATTTCCAGCTGCTCTTGAATTCATGTTTCTGTCACAGGCTGAATGCTTCCACTTGTACTTTGAGTTTAAAGCATTCTTATGTGCAAATATATACACAACGGGTGGCTGACATTTTCAAAATGTTCAAGGTCAAACAAGTCACATGCTGTAATAGCTCCAATGGTGCAAATGATGAGTGTTGTCTTGTAGGAAAGCGATGAAATCTCAATGGAGATTCGTGTGCCCCTCTTCCAGTGTGCGGAAAGAGAATCATGTATTATTTTTCTCATGTAGAGCCACTCACCTTTGGTTACATTTTCTTTCTCTGCATACTGGAAGTCGCACCCTTTTCTCCATTTTCAGAATATATCATCAGACTCCTGAAAGCTGGGGAAGGAAGTGATCAGAAACAGTGATAAAGGATTCTACCTTATATTCTTAAGGGAGTGTACAGTTTATGAGTTCTAGACCACTACAATAAAATTGTTGGTTCTGTTTTCCAGAGTGCTTTTGATCTTAGACCGTGTTCTGGTATCCGGAACAGCCTGTAAGTTTACGTGGAATCTCTAGTGGCTGAGGCTCCTGCTGAATGTATGATGTGGCACCCATTTGGAGTTTGCATCGGTTATATTTGTTGGCTCGTGATCAATTCATAAAAGGATCGAATTCCTTGTATCGTTATGTTATCATAAGGTCGATTTGGAATAAGAGATGAACGTTGTGGCTCTTAACTCATAAATGGTAGGCTCATCTGGGAATCAAATTATATACAACCTTCTGGCTAACAGCCTCTGATTTAACATTCCAACTACTAATGGCTTATAGGCAACTTAATGATCTTTGGTTTGCTTTTCGATGTCAAACGGTGTAGTTAAATAAGTATAAAAGTCCAACCAGATAACAGAAGAGTGCACTGTCAAGTAAACTAGCACTTTCAGCTACTGAACATAGCTAGCTCTGTGGAGCATCACTTTCCTGCTTCTTAACATATGTTTCTCCTCCTATTGGTTATTTAGCAGATTGACAGTGAATGCCTAGCTACTCAGTTGTTAGAGTTAATGGGCAGGTATAGAACAGTCTCAAGAACTGATTGCCACTTGGAAGCTGGTGACAAGGTAGGTAGGTCGTCATACTCGTACCAAATGCTCTTCTATATCCTCTTCCGTTTTACATCCTCCACTTCTTTCTTGCAGTTGTGATGAATTTTACTTTGTCATTCTGGCCATGGAAGTATCTGTTTATGCTTCATTGAAATGCCATGACAGTTGCATCCTCTACTAATTCATGTAGCATTAGAGTTTCTTAGACTGATAATTACATTTTCTTTTTGTTACATGGACCATTGAATTAGGAATACTAGTTATTGTCAACTTCAATTGATTTAGTGTCCATAGTGAAGATCCGTTCAATAAAAACTCTGTTTAGTTTTGTTATTTCCTGTTGTTGAGACTATTTTAATCGGAGTATGTTAAGCTTTTCCAGAGCCTAACTGGAACTTTGGTAATAGAAAGCACTATAATCAAATAGGTGATGCAGAATGGCAGTTGATTTTCTTGTAGTACCCAAATAATAGTGGTAAATCTGACTCTTTAGATCTGTAGTTGCCCTTCCTGTTACTAAATAGCATTCATGTGAAATAATAACTTCAGCATGATAACACACTTATCAAAAACAACATGCTAACATGGACAATCAACAAGATTCCTCTGTCCTGGTTCCTCTTAAAGCGTAAATTTTTCTTTTTCTGCCTTATTGCTCTTCTGTGGCCCAAAAGTCCTGTTTTCTAACCTTTTCACAATTAAACCAAGCTTATTTTACTTTGCAGATATGGCCCTCGTCTCGTATGGTGAAACTCTAACCATACTGCAAATCTATGGAGCAGCGGTCATAAGATAAAGCAGGAGGAGAACCAATAGATAAACTTCCTGTCACACGTAGGGGACCTACATTCATCGTCCCAGACTCCCAGGGTGGGAACGACATTGTATTAACACCAAGTGGGATGGCATTCGTCCATGGTTACGAAGTAAATCCCAGCACCGCGTCAATGCTTAGAGCCATACTCTGCAAACATGGCGATATCACAGAGGACTGTCATTAAGTACCCTTCACAATCGGTTGGAGCTTCCCTGCTGGAAATCGTCTGTCATGCCATCTCCCAGCTGCAGCAAAGCAGCGCTGATGGTGATAAAAGGAGCGACGATGGAGCTTGAGGAAGTCATGGTGGCCGGAGCTTGTGGCAGTGCATAAGTGTATGGGGGGGATGCGGAGAGGGGAATTAGTCCTATGAAACTTGTGACAAAGAGGATTGATGATGCCTTGGTGGAGGTTGAAGATCAGAAGCAGTTCTGGCTTAGGCAGATGAACGAGCTTGTCTAGTAGCCGTGATTGAAGTAGAGTAGACTGTAGAGTTGAGCTGAATCAGTGTTGTATAACTGGCAGTTGCATGCATGCACACATCATGCATATGTCGGGCTTTGAAATTAATTCTTATACGTTGTGGCATTACTGTCGATCTGACTTGAAGCTTACTAGGATGCTGCTTCAGTATTGGTAACCTGTAAGGCTAGGTTTTTACTCATGCGTTGCATTCTACTAGAATCAGACTCGATGCGTTTCCAATGGCGGATGTGCCTGTCTGCCTGCCAGTCCACCACTGTAGCCTTCTCTGCAGTACTGGGCTGGCTGCCGAGTTGCCCGAGACTGATTGTTTCGATGAAGGGAAGAGGTATGGTTCTCAAAATTATGTGTTTTGCAAGGTTGGTGTTCAAGGCATTTTAAGCTAGCTGATTGTGCTGGTGCTGGTTCGGAAGTACTGGAAGGGTGAAACAATGGAAATAAATATTATTGATCAGACATTCTTAAAATGACAGTAGTACAGGGGTTTAATTACAGGCTCACCGGAAAAGTACTTGTATCATCCATTACAACACTTGGGATATATCCACATGTAAATTGATGAGATCCGATAAAGAAAGAAAAGAACAGGGGAGTGGACTGACTACATTGTTTGCTTAATTAGCTAGCAAGAACGTTTCAGCCTCACTCCTGGTTGATAGACGGGATTTCCATTCACTAAATTGGTAGATTGATAGTTTGATACGAAACGATCGAGGATCCAGTATGTAATGGTTGATGTGTACTGTGTTGGCGTTGTCAAGAAGACTGGATTTTGACGGGTTCCTCCTGCTGTTTGGCGGCAGGAAGAGCAAGGTGACCCTTCTCCTGGAGAGAAATCACGGTTTCATAGAGGCACTGCTTCGCCGGCGTGAACTCCAGCCCGATGTCCTTGAGCTTTTGGCACGAGAACTTGTACGGCTTCACTCTTGGGTTCTTCTCATCCGAGCACCTGCACCATTTCCAGTTCTTTGTTTTAGTACCAAAATTCTGTTCCATGCAATCTACCACATTCTATGCAGTGTTCAAAGATGGACATAACTCCATCTCCTATCTCCATTACAATGCATAACAACATGCGTGCCTACCACGTCATTGTTGCGTGGGAAAGAATTGTTATTATTATATGGAAAAAGAAGAGTAAAAAGAAGTGGACCAAACCAGTCACCAATGGTGGGGGGACCTAAAAGGAATCCATCAACATGGCAAGGACAGCTAAAGGAACAAATCCATCTTATTTAGGGTATATTAGTGGGTTTGTGGGGTTTGTGGAAAAGAGGGGAATTGGTGGGAGACTGAGACAATCCTTGCTCTTGCCTCCACTACTTTTTTTTTTCTTCCATAAATGATCTTATGTCACACAGTAAACCAATACTCAGTCGCCACATCTTCATCTCTATTATCAATTGAAACAAATATAGGACCTTAATTTCTACGAAGCAAGCAAGTCCAAGTCATTGTTATAGGTGCAACAACCACGTTTAGTCCTCTTGCTAGGCGCTAGCCAAAACAAGACAATATAGTTCAGGTACTTTTTTTTTTTTTTTTGTTGAACAATTTTCCATTCCCTTTATTCCTTGTTCTGTCCGTTGCCCTGTCCCATTTCCTTTATAAAAAAACATATGTGAAGAAATATGATTGCAATAAAAGATTGAAACTTGTCTGACGATATCTGATTAGAGATCTTCAGCCCATAACCTTTTAATTATGAATTAATTGATTCATGGTGCTTGGCCAGCTACATACCTACTAAATCAGCCTATAAATAATTACTTGCCGGCCATCACTTATGAACTGTATGTTTTATGGACTCTTCAATTTAAAAACATTTCTTAACAACCATCATCATATTGATGGCAATTATTTCTATTGAAGGTGATTACACAGATAACAAGCTAAACTAATAGAAAACAAAACTACGGGTCGTTTGCTTTATGGATTTGAAAAATGAGGGTTTTGGTAAAACCTGGGTTTTGGATAACCATGGATATATGATGGATTTGATGTCATTATGGATTTGAACAAGTCTATTGTTTGCTTGATGGATTTGATTATGGACTTTCTTTGATTAGATTTGTGGATATTAAATACAAATTACCTAGTTACCCTTATTTAATTATATTTCTATATTATAATCCAAATCTTTCATTTAAAACTACAATATGACACTAATTAACAATTCATCTTGGCACTAATTAAAAATTCATCTAATAATCCTTCTTAAAAAAAACAATTCATCTAATAATGTACGCAATATTATGTATCAATTGCAGCCAATTGCTTGCTTTATTGCTACAACTCATCATCTTCTTGCTAACTCACCGATGTGGAATCCGACAATCAATCAATTAATAATGTACAAGATGAGCATAAAGTGTTTCTAGGTGAATCTAACAAATCACATATACATTCATATTTAAATCAAATACGATATTACAAAATGAAATGATAAATTCTCATATTTATAAAATACGAAATTATAAAAGTTTACAGTTGCATGACCATTGAATTAAAGTAGGACAAATTTGTAATCAAAGAAATAATTAAGGGTAAAAAGGTAATTTACCATCATGGATTTTAATCCATCACCCAAATCCCACCTCAAGAGGTGGAACTTCCAAGTCCGTGGGGTCCACGGATTTGGAACCCCAAAAGTGGTGGGCCCCACAAATTCCATCTCCCTAATTCCCTAAGGCAAACGATGGATTTCGGTTCAAGTCCATGATGGATATATTTCCATGACCAAATCAATCACCAAAACCCTCAAACAAACGACCCCTTAAATAAAATCGCCCATATCTAAAGTTCAGATTTAGATAAAGGATTGTTGAAACGAGCAAGAAAGGGCAATACGGGAAATGGTAGGGACGAACTAAAAAGTGATTAAACTTACTTGGTGGGGACAGGGTATTCGGGGAACAACTTGGCGAGGATTTCAACAACCTCGCCGCGGTGGAGCACGCTCTCGGCGCAGAGGTACCGGCCGGCGGCGGCCGGGTTTTCGAAGACCAGAATGTGGGCCAGCGCGACGTCCTTGACGTGGACATAGGCTTGGACCGAGTTGGCGTAGGTCTTGGCCGAACCGGTCAGGTACTTGAGGATGTGGATGATGCTCGCGTTAATGGTAGATTGCAGCAACGGGCCCAGTACCAGAACCGGGTTCACCGCCACCACGTCCACCCCTTTCTCCTCCGCCATCTCCCACGCCGCCTGCTCCGCCACCGTCTTCCCGTAGCAGTACCAGTTCTGCATCAATTAAATCGTAGAGTCCCACCACAATCAGCACCACATCTTTGACTCTCGATTTTATGACCGTTGACTCGTCAGGTCAAACTAATTGCGGGATTAAAAATTTGCACTTAATTAGGAAGAGTAGTAGAGAGAAGAGATGAATTGGTCACCTTGGTGTTCTTGCAGAACTCCAGGTCGCTCCAACAAGATTCGTCGACCACCGTGTCGGGGCTCCGGTTGGGGTCCATGTAGACGGCGCCGATGGATGACGTAAACACAACCCGCCTCACTTTGGCTTCCGCCGCTGCGTTAATTACATACTTAGTCCCGTCCACCGCCGGCTCCACCATTTGTTCCTGTTATTGTTCCAAGTAAAGTACGGTACAAGTAATTGATTAATACCACTCCCAATCAATTTTTTAAAGACTAATCACCGTTACTTCATAGATTAACAAGGGGTAGGTGGGCCCCGCCACTTAGAAAAGTAATTATCTACTCATTTTTTTTAATCCAAATTTCCTAATTATATGCTCTATTCTGGTAAGAAGCAACGGTCCACCACTACCTTCATATTTCCAATGGTTCATCGCCATGTTCAAGAAAAAAAATGATATTTTAATCTGCAATCACATCTACCGATAGAACTCTTTACATATATGTTTTAAGCAATTCATTTAATATTAATTTCCATGTGTTTAGACGGCAAGCCGTGTCTTAATCTTACTAGTAGTCTTTTGATTAATTGGGATCTGACGAAATTAGTATTTTTTGTAAATGTAATCACCGATCATTAGGAAACCGAACAAGTATAGGTTTCGCCGAAACAGTGGTGTTTCCATTTCAATCTCAATTTCATTTTCCAATTCCAAGCATCTTTTCTCAGCAACCAAACAGGAAATCCGTATTTTGAGTGGAGAGAGAGAGAAAGAGAGAGGGAGAAGCAGCGTACTGGATCATCGGTGACGGGAGAAGCGGTGTGGAACACGCCTTGGCAACCGCTAATGGCTTCGCGGAGGCTCTGGTAATCCAGAAGATCGGCCTTGCACAGAGTCAGCCGCTCGTCAGCTCCTTCCAGAGCTCTCAAGTGAGCGTTCTTCGGATCATCTGCGTGTACGCGATTTATAACCAAATCAGAATACAGAGAGCAATCCAAGTGAAATCAATGAAACAAATCGATCTACAACTTCTCAAAAAGGAGAATGCAACAACTCAAATTGAAAACGAGAATGGAAAAGTAAATTAGCTAGACCTGGATTCCTGACAGTTCCTTTGACGGAGTAGCCTCTGTCGAGAAGAAGCTTAACCATCCAGGAGGCGATGAATCCGCCGGCGCCGGTGACGCAGACGGTCTGGCCGTTACCGGGGAGGGATGAGCTGTCGGCCGGCATGGTGGTTTGTGTGGTTCCGCTTTATCTTTTTTCGCGCACCGTCTTGAGGCGAGGGAAAAGGTGGGAGATGAGTTATGGAGAAAAAAGTTGGGGGGTTTTTTGGAACGTGGAGTGAGTGGGTTGGAGTTGGTCGCCCGTATTTATAAGTTAAGGAATTGGGGGGAGCGCGTGGGTTTCACCCTCACCTACCGCCGGTGAATAATCGTGGGCCGGATACCCAACAGGCCCACGGTAAGAATATACGTTACAGAATACAGACTACAGTCCCCTATTTCCTTAATTCCTATTCTTTATTCAGATTGTACTTACTTGGTCACATTAATAAAATGATACACGTTATTTATTAAAAAAGCTTTTGTATATTAATTAATAATAAATATAACCGATCTTGGTAAAAATGGGGAAAAAGAACTAAATCTTCCAAACTTAATTGACTCAACCAAAACTGTGCTTCTGTAGGGGGGAAAGAAGATTAATTTTATTGCTTTAAACGTGATTTGGCCGGCTAGTCTGGTTGTTAGTGGGAAAGCAACTATTCTGATCAGGGAATTAATCCTTCTCAGTTGAAATGAGAGCCTAAAACAGCTAAACATGTCAAATTAGACGCATCAGTTGTGGAACTAATAGATCAGGGTAAGCTAATCAGAAACAATGGGATGCAATTTGACATAAGAATGAAGGAACAACTTACCAGTACATAAAGACAAAAAAGCTACTTAATATATGTAATTTGACATTTTTCTAGTGTTCGGTTTTCCTAATCAGGAGGCATACACGTTGTACAAGGATTGAGAAATTAATCAAATTGTTATTACAGTCATCGGTATTTAGTGGTTAATTATTAGTTTGGTAACCTCACGTTTCCTTTTCTTTTGTATTATTTTTTACCGCCCTGTCATGAATTCAACTGTCAACCGAAAAAAGAAGAGGGGGTTGGTCGTTCAAACTTCAAAGTCCAGGGCCACTCGACTTTGACCCACCAGTGGTTAAACTTGGACCAATAACCAAGTGGCCGCCAGGCGCCATGCACAGGCTGGGGCAGCAGCAGCTTCCCTTCATGCTTCCCTTCCACCCCTCCCTTATCTATCTCTCAACTTGGTTCCTACTTCATTTTCCGTTCCGACTATTTCTTAAGGGGAAAATATCCAGGTAACAAAAAAACCTTTACCGTCTACTCCCTGTCATAATCAAATTAGTCTTCATCTTCACTCCAACTTCCAACTTCCAAGTCTCTCGCATCCGAACTGCCATGACCGTATGCTCCAAGCAGATCGCACGGGGATGAAAAACTAGCGGTGTAGAATCCCAATAGCTCGGACAGCGGAGGAAATCACGGCGAATTGATTGTAGTTACTGTAGAAATCTGCCATACAACATCATTCAATTACCTGTCGGAGACAAGTCCATTAACTCACCATCCCTATTTATTTTTCCCCATCTCAATGTTATCTTCTGCAGACACATGCTAGCTTTCATTTCTCTGTTAGCTTTTTTTTCTCACATGCTATTCTTATCTCTTTACCAAGCAAAATTACGTGTATATATACAAGGAGATATTATATCTCCATGTAATTTGTATCAGTAAGAAGAAATACAAACAGAATAAAAACTATCATTCTGGTTTTTCCTTTTCAATCCTTTGTGGATTTCTTCAGTTACCGGGACTCCGACTAGCTCAATCAAGCCGTCGTCAGTCCTTTTCTGGTAAGCGCATTTCTCACGCAACAGTGGCAATAGCCTACCTAATAGAAGCGCAACAGAAAAATATCCAAGCTCTGAGGAGATCTGGATTTGCACATATGGATTGCACAGAACAGGAAATTTGAGCTAAATCTCAAACGAACCCTAAATTTGTTGTTCAAATTTAGTGGGCTACCGGCGGGGCCATGGGTTACTGGCGATATTGCAATAGGTGCCCTAGGTTTGGTCTGGTTCCGACATTCTATGGGGATGTTCCTTAGTTATAAAAAAAATTTACCGAGCTAGAGATATATTAGGAAAGTCAATGATGGTATGATAGTAAAAAAGACCCATGACCTTGATGAAGTAGATAGTTTACTACAAGCAAAAGACAAATATGTGGTGAATGAGGAGTATAGTAATTGTATAGGTGTTAGAAAAATTTCTAAGGGTGTTTTTGGATGTTCCTTAGTTATAAAAAAAAATACCGAGCTAGAGATATATTAGGAAAGTCAATGGTATGATTAGGGCTGTCAATTTGGTTTGGTTTGGTTAACCAAACCATTAAGTATGAAAAACCAAAAACCAAAAACCAAATCCCAAAAACCAAAACCAAAACCAATAAGGGCCTTAATGGTTTGGGTGTGCCTACGGTGACATGCATGTCACGGTGACTTGCACTTTCCGGTCGACCTCAGTTAGGATTAGGTCGACCTCACATAGAATTCGGTCGACCTCATATAGGATCCGGTCGACCTCATTTAGGATTCGGTCGACCTCATATAGGATCCGGTCGACCTAATATGTTGTTTCAGTGTAAAAACAGTTCATGGTGCCTACTTTGGATATTCATATCATACAATTAGCTAGATGGAAACTGAAGACTAATGACTTGTTTTGAAGCTGGAGTGTCCCTCTACATATTGAAGTGATTGAGAGCTCGATAGGAAGTCCAGAAGACCATTTTTGAACCTCATCAAAAGGCTATACCAAAACTGGGAAACTGCCTAGAAATTGCTAAGTCTGGAAACGTGTTTGTGAAGCCTATTTTTGAGCTCAATTCGAGAAGCATGAATGCGATTCGAGTCCAGGAGCCTCTACCACGTTAAATTAGGTATGTTTTTATACAAATTCAAGGAATTGGATGAAAGATTGGATATCTTTAAGGCTTCAAACAAAAGGGTCGAAGTTGCTACGAAGGCTGTTTTTCTGGCAGATTCGAGCACAAGCAAGCTGCCAGAAAAACAGGCTTCGTAGCAACTTCGAGCCTTTTGTTTGAAGCCTTAAAGATATTCAATCTTTCATTCAATGCCTTGCCTTTGTATAAAAAAATACGTAATTTAACGTGGTAAAGGCCCCTGGAATTGACTCGCATCCATGCTTGTCAAATTGAGCTCCAAAGTAGGCTTGACAAACACGTTGCCAGACTTAGCCATTTTCAGACAGTTTCCCAGTTTTGGCATAGCCTTTTGGTCAGGTTCAAAAATGGTCTTCTGGACTTTCTATTGAGCTCCCAAGTACTTTAATGTGTAGAGGGACACTTCAGCTTCAAAACAAGCCTTTAATCTCCAATTTCCATCTAGCCAATTGTAAGATATGAATCTCCAAAGTAGGCACCATGAAACTGTTTATACATTGAAACAACTGATTAGGTCGACCTGATCCTATATGAGGTCGACCGAAAAGTGCATGTCACCGTGACATGCATGTCACCGTAGCAAAGTCCTAATGGTTTTGGTTTACCAAAAAACCAACATGTACTCATACACTCATATTTATTCATATTTTCCTCCTTTTTATTGAATAAACATCATAATAATGGTAAATGGCCATTACAAATTATTGGTTGGCATGCGTGTCAAAAGAAACAAAAAAAAATTGTTGATAAATAATTTTATTCTTATTGGTTTCTTAATGGTTTCTATTGGTTTTTCGGTTTTAACCAAACCAAAACCATTAAGTTGCTTATTGGTTTAAAACCAAAAAACTGAAACCATTAGCTTTCCAATTGGTTTGGTTTCGGTTAAAACCAAAACCAAATGGACAACCCTAGGTATGATAGTAAAAAAGACCCGTGACCTTGATGAAGTAGATAGTTTACTACAAGCAAAAGACAAATATGTGGTGAATGAGGAGTATAGTAATTGTATAGGTGTTAGAAAAATTTCTAAGGGTGTTTTTGGATATATGTAATTTAAATGTAAGATAATTGAAATATAAGTATAAAAATGTATGTATTTGAAACACCAATATTAGAAATACATGTAATTCAAATTTGTTGTTTGGATACTCATTTTTAATTTGTTTGTAAAGAAGAAGTCTCAAAGTTTTCCCAATAAAGAGTATGTGGAACCGGTCAACTCTTCTAGGGGTTTTGCGCTTTGGTGGAAAGCGGGTATTAGCATTAATGTTTTTTTTTGTGTGAATTAGCATTAATGTTTTAAGTAGTGATAGTTACTATATGGATTGTAATATTTAAATGAGTAGGAAGTTCTTTTGTACTTTTGTTCATGCACCCTCTACAGCTGTCAGTAGAAGGGAATTTTGGGAGCACCTGAGCTCTCTGCGGAGTAGTAGGGAGGATAACTGGGTTATTGTTGGAGACTTCAACGTTGCTATTTATGAAAGCTAGAAAGAGGGGCAATGTCCTCTTAGATACGAGAATGTTGAACCTTTTAAAAGGTTTATTTTCAACAACACACTTATTGATCTAGGGTTCAAAGGAGAACTCTACACCTGGACCAATAAGCGTATTGGCGAAAATACAACAAGAGTCAGATTAGATCGAGTGTTGTGCTCGACTTCTTAGAGAGTCCTATTCGGGGAGGCAACTGTTTTCCATGAAAAGATGGTAGAATCGGACCTTTGCCCAATCAGGCTGGAGCTCTGTTACAGGGGAAATAGGAGGAGGAGAACACCATTCAGAGTAGATGAAAGATGGCTGGATAAGGAAGAATGCAAGGAGATTGTGGTCCGAGCATGGGACCCGGGAGGGAAATCGTCTAACCAGCTGGCCAAATGCGAACAAGATCTTAAAGAATAGTCAAAAGACTTCCATAGGAACAGTTTACAAAGGGAGAAGGAAATTCTGGATCGTCTTGATATTTTCCAACGTCCTCCAAGAACTCAGGAAAGAGTGGAGGAAGAAAAAAAGCTCTTTGAAGAACTAGCAAAGATGTGGAGGGAGGAGGAGGCTTTCTGGAATCAGTGCTCAAGAGTGAAGTGGTTCCAGAAAGGGGATCAGAATAATTCCTTTTTCCATTCTAGCACGATTCATAGAAAGTATAAGAACAAGATTCTTAGACTCAAGGATGATAGGGGCGAGTGGGTAGAGGATGAAAATAGGCTGAAAGGTCTGGCCCAGGATTTCCACAAGGACCTCTTTAAAGCTAGAGACCATATTCCCTTTACCCACCTTCTGGATGGCTTCCCAGGAAAGGTCAAGCGGAGATGAATGCTGCTCTCTGTGCCCCAGTAACCAGTGAGGAAGTTAGGAAAGCGGTTTTCTCATTGGGTGCGAAGA